ACAAAAATTTAAAACCATTAAGTAAAAGGCAGTTTCACAGACAATTGCCAAAATTAAGGAAGTTGCATACCCAGTATATATTACACCATCTCCTCCCCACTTTACGCATGTAACAGCTAGAGTGTGACCGCTCAGACAAATTACACATTTCCTTAGTGTTACGTCCCATATGCGTGCATCACCATCTTTACTAGAACTCACAAAGCGACGGCTCGGTGAACTCAGATGGACTGGTTCCCAAGATATACCGGTGATCCATTTCTTGTGGCCCTGACATAAAGCAGATTCAATGTCTTAGTGGCACAGAGACTATTCTTGCTATGCATAAGCCACAACAACCAGTTCGACACTTCAACACCTCACAAATTAATGTCAAAAATGGTAAAGGATGTTAGAAAGCTTCCTCAACAAAAATGGTACACCATTTATCTCTTCCCACAGATGCGAAGCTACACAATAAACTGTACTTACTACGCTAAACTTATGGATATCATCCAAATTAACGCCAACACTGCTCCCACTTATTTTGCCACAAGTATAAAATTAGAAGCAGCATATTTGTGCTTTTATCCACCATTTCATCATCAATATGGAGAGTTATAAACCAAGAAATATTAATAGGAAATGGAGTTCCATGGAATCCTTGCAGGAAGGATTCTCAAACATATAAGTGTAACACCAAATGTCAAAAACTATTTAGTCTGAACAACTTTCCATAAAATAGATTTAGCTCCAAGTTAAATAAAGTCGTAAAAGCAGCAAATTACAATCAACTGAATAAGATACTTTCTAGTCTTATAATTCAATAAGGATCATACAACAAGTGGATTGCCTGATGGCTGCCCGGTCAATGGATCCCAGCATTGGAGTTCCCCAGCCTTGCTTCCACTTACAAGATGCTTACCATCAGGTGACCATGCAATACAGAGGACCCAATTCTTGTGCCCTGAGCAAGAAGAACTGTTCATTAAAAGAACAGATAAAAAGGAAACCAAGTAATTTACCACTGCAACAAACTGCTTACTAACATTTTTCCACCCACAATCCACTCCACTGGTGCAATGTTCAGCTTATGCCTCTAGGAAAATTCAACCTATCGCACCTTCCCCCCCCCCCCCGCCCCAAAAAAAATAAAAAATAAAAACAAAAAACCCAATGGTTCTCCAGCTAAGCAAATAGAAAGCAACTATACAGCAAGTAGGCATGCGTATATTTAGATGCCCCCATGATGGGGAAGGGAGCATACAATTAGAAACTTGAAGGACATAAGGAAATAAGAGATTCAGATATTCAACCTTTGCATGTAAACATAGGGGTCTGAGTACTTAGGTCCCACAATCGGACTGTGGTATCTCCTGAACCACTAGCCAGTTGCTTCCCGTCAGGACTAAAGGCTACAGAAAGAACAGCTTCTGAGTGACCTGCAATGACAGAAAAATGAACCTTTAAAAGGGCATTCAATCTGTACATATCAGACTATTAGGCATAATATAGGCATTGCTTATTAAGAGCAAATTAATTACAACATGTCAAGCAAAGGTCCTCCAGCACTCCATAAGGATTGAAACTATATTCTCCATAATCAACATCCTTCTAACAACATTGCTCTCCTTGATACAATGGCACCCCACCCCACCCCCTTCACCAAAAATAAAAAAAACTGATAGTATGTTATGATATGTCTAAGATCAGCCTAACTGAATCAAGTATACTATGAAAGATGGATAGTGTCCAGCAGCTACCAGAGCTGATGAATAAGAAAGTCAGCCTCATACCAGCAATTGTTGCTGAACAGCGATTTACAGGACGAATTCGGAAAATGGCTTGTGGCTGATAGACTATGGCCAAGACCTTCTCCACCGAAACTGCAATGTCAACCCAAATTAAAAATGAATGACAGATATGCAGTTAGAGACCCGAGGAAGCTCCTTAAAAATATGACGCCTTTGCTTCTTTACTGACCTCTGTTTTTCTGTAAGTAAGATTCAAGACGGACAACGAGCTCCTGGTCCGATATATAAAAAGTATACGGCAATTTCTCCTCCTGGTTATCCCAAAAGTATAAAATCCATTAGAGAAAAAGGGAGAAAATTGAAAAACTATCTCGGCCATGGATGAATTTTAGTAAACAAGAACGAAAATATGTAAATCAATCAACAGGAAATTTTTCAGAAAAAAGTTAAGCATTGACGACCAGAGGGCTTTGGCAATTAAACAACAATCTGGAAGTCAGTGTTTCACTTCACACAAGAGAAAAGGTCATGTTCTAAGTTAAGAACATGTTCACATAATGAGTAAACAAAGTAAAATTAATAAAACGGTATACACTTCTCAACAAGAACCGCGTGAGACCGTGAAACCAATCTCTCCAGGGAGAAACACGCCCAGTCCCGCTTAAAATTCTAGGTCTATGCTCACGTATACAATTGCAACACTGCATCAACACAAGCAAACTTGAAGATCAAATTCAAATCTTACGTTGTTGAGGAGCTTATTGACCATCTGTTGAAGTTGTTGAGGGCCAACGTTCTGAGGAAGGTACATGGGAGGACCCAAGGTTGTTCCTTCCGGATCCACCAGTTGACACATCACGTTGTTTACATCTCGCTCCTCTGCTTCCACCTCCATCTTTCCCACGACAACAATAAAAATTCAATCTTCTCTCTTCGAATCTCTGATAAAAATCGAAGCTTCAATTGATACAACGATACTGGGAGCGCGCAGATAAATTGAGAAGTACGTTTGTGATCGCGACGGAAGTAGGGCTGTCAAAATGGTCACAAACCCATATTTTAACTCATATTGATAAAAATGGGTCATAAATAGGTCAGCTTAAACTTATAATATGGGTCAAAATGGGTTCAAAAGAAAGAGAAAGGTCGAAAAATATGGGTTTCGGTGGGTTAAGTAATAAACCCACTTTCAACCCAAACTACTCTCTTCTCTTTCCCCCTCTGCAGACGAAGCAGCAGCACCACCGCTCCTCGCCTCTCTCTCGCCCTTGAATCTCGCCGCCCCCTCTCCGCTTCTTCCGTCCCTCCGCCTCCGGTCGTCTCCTGGTTGCACTCGCCGCCGCCGCGAGACTCTGTCCCCAATCGAACGATGTCGCTATTCGAGGATGACGACAACGACTGAGTCAACTCGGACTGAGCCGACGACCGCTTAACCCGGTGGAAACCTCCTCGAGGACGCGGTGGGGCTCCAACACTTCCGCGAGTAGAAGTGGCCGCCGAAGATCCCAACCCGGGTGAGGACGTGATTCGGGATCGGGGGTGACCAGAGGCTCAGAGCGACGCGAAAGATCCGAACTCGAGTGAGGAAGAGAGGAGCTTCAGGATCTAGAAATGGAATGACGTCACCGAGAGAGCCATTGACTGTTGCCTCGAACAAGAAGAGAGAGAGAGAGAGAGAGAGAGAGAGAGGAGAGTGAGAAGCAGAAGAAGATTGAAGATGGAGATTTACATGGAAGGAGAGAGAGAGAGAGAGAGCAAGAGGCATACAGAGGAGAGAGAGATGAGAGAGAGAGAGGGAGGTGTACCGACAAATTTTGTGTTTATTCGGTTTTTCCTTTTTTTTAAGGAAAAAAAAGGAATGTCATTGTAACTCTTCATTTTTTTTTTACTTTGTTTCTCTTTATCGGTTTTTACGCATAATTATAATTTTCACGTCGGATTTATCCAAAAATAAAACGTATGTATCCCTGGATGCATGATTGATCGCATTATCCAAAAATTAAAACATGTTCCGATTTATAGGTTTTTGACATTTTTTATTTTATTTACTAATTTTTTATTACTTAATATAATGTGAAGTTTTTATCCATAAAACATATACATGTAAAAAGCTTAAAAGAAGTTAAATGAGTGGGTATGAGTTTTCCTAGAATATTAATGTGTTTTGGTAATACGGGTCAGGTCGGGTATGGATCGAGTATGAGTCGGGTTAGGTATGGGTCATAAAAATTGGGGAAAATTCCAATTTATGGTCCAAAGTGGGGCCATTTTCTTAATTTGGGGTCCCAAGTGGACTTAGTACCAAATTGATACCCAAAGTCCCCAAAAAGTGTCAAATAAGGGTTTGGGTCGTGGTAGAAGCAAAATACTCGTGGTAGGTGATCCGCTGGATTGTTCCGTGAAGGAAACGGTGTTTTTATATTTTTTTTTGTTTTTTTCTTTTCCTTTTTCTCTTTTTTTTTTCTCCTTTCCCTCCGCCGGCCATTGCCGGGGCCGGCGGAGGTCGCTGGCCTCAGGCAGAGGCGGCCCTCGCCGGCGAGAGGGACCCAGGGCCGGGCGAGGGTCGCCCTCACCCGCCCAGCCCAGGCGAGGGCGGCCCTCGCTCGATGCCGGCGAGGGCGACCCTCGCCCGCCCCGGGTCGCCCTCGTCGGCGAGGGCCGCCTCCGCCTGAGGGCCGGCGACTCACGGCCGCGAATGGCCTATGAGGGAAAGGAGAAAAAAAAGAGGAAAAGGAAAGAAAAAAATAAATAAAAACACTGTTTCGTCACGAACAAGCATGGATCACTACGGCGAGTATTTTGGTCACGCGACCCTGCACTTTATTTGACACTTTTTGGGCTTGGTACCAATTTGGCACTAAGTCCACTTGGGACCCCAAATTGAGAAAATGGCCCCACTTTGGACCCCAAATTGGAATTTTCCCTAAAAATTGCATTGTGTGAAAATGGATCAAAACGGGTTATATGGCTCAATATAGATCGGACCATATTCGATCCGACTCAAATCCGAACCGATCCACCCATTGACGGCCTAGACGGAAGTGAAGTTGGGGGGGGGTCCTAGGGTTTTAGGCGGGCTTTTGATGACGACCTGATGCGGTGCGTGTTGGTTCACCGTGCTATGGTGGGGACGATGTCTTATGAAGTAACTAAGGCTTGTGTAAAACAAGAGAGAAGAAAAGATAAAGAAATATGAATAGAAGATGAGGAAGCACCGGTCAAACTCGCTCCTCAGAGGCCGACCCCTGATGGGGAGTGATGGTACGATGATGCTCTGTCCCCTCTTTCTTGTCGGAACAGTTCTTCTCCTCTCTTTGTAAAGAAACACTTGAGAAACCCAGTTCGTTTTCTGTTCTTGAACTATGTCCGAGTACAACATAACGATTTTAGCGCTGATGTTGCTGCTCAGCGTGATAACGGTAACTTCATCAGCATCGCGGTCGCCGGATGTCATTGAGTCTCTGCTCACCCGACCGGAGTCCAAAAGGGCATCCCCATCGGTTCGAGAAACGGCTGCTGAAGGCCTTCTTAAAAGATTGCTTCCTTTCCATTCGCACAGGTTCCAACTCAAGATCGTACCCAAGGTCTCATCTTTTTCATTACTCAAGATGCAATTCCATTTTGTTTCCTCAAGTCCTCTGGAACGAAAATAGAAGCTGGGGGTCTGCTCTCTCCATTCATTGTCAAGCCGCAGCAATGAACTGAGGAAATGTGAAAATGTCTAGCCTTTTGGTGACCCTTATCAAGTCACTGCGCTTTTCTCATTTCCGATTTAGTGAGAGTTAAATCTTTAAGTAAATAGTAAGCTAGCCGGACCCAATTCATAGTTTCTTGGACGTTCTTTTAGGTGTCGATGAAATGGATTTGTTCCCTTCAGTGATGGCGTCAAAATTCCTATGTATCCCTCAGAGTAGAACTCACTCTAGTGTATCGATGGTCTCGGTAAAAGTTACTTGCGATGTTGGCATTGAACTGTCTTTAGCTTTTCCAGTTTAAGTACGTATCTCTAGCTACTGTAGCCAAAAAAAGTGGTTCAAGTAATATCTTTCTTAGGGTCTCTATTAGCAGTAACCGTTAGCTGAACAGTGAAGATGCATGCTTTGTGCTCACCCGAAGAACATAGCATATGATCAGGTTAAGAAACTGTCCCTTTGCAAACTTTTTTTCTCAATGTCTTTCTGACACATGATAGTCATATGAGTGTAACTGTCAGTGGTTTGCGCTCACTTTCTTTCAGCTTGCCTATGAGGATGTTTGTGGTGGAAAGAACTGCTTTTTGATTGAAAATTACGAGGAGAATGATGGGCCTGAGATACTGTATGTAGTCATTGTTTTTGTCAAGTGGAGCAGCGTGCCTTTCATTTTTAATCGCGTGAAGGAGTATTACCCAGTCTTAGTTTGTGAGTTATGCATTGTTGAAGCTCTTTTGTCTATTTCACTACAGGATTAAAGGTACCACAGCAGTTGAATTAGCATCCGGCTTGCATTGGTATTTGAAGTATTAATGCGATGCTTATGTTTCCTGGGACAAGACTGGTAGCATACAGGTGGCTTCTGTTCCTAAGGCAGGATCCCTGCCTAGGCTGAAGGGCAAGGGTGTGATGATTCAGTGATCCGTCCCATGGAGCTATTATCAAAATGTTGTTGCATCAAGTTGTAAGTTTTCTTCACCATGGGACATTGAGGCTTTGGCGATATTATTAGCAAGTCGGTAGCTAGTTCGTCATGTTTGAGGTAAGTGAGGCAAAAGCACCTAGGGTCCCTCTTGCATTTGGACATACTATCTATTTGACAGTGTTTGTTCTTCAAGGAGCTAATGACTTGATGTCATGCGATTCATCGTAGAGTCTTATGTCTGGTGGAATTGGAGTAGATGGGAAAAAGAGATCCTGGATCGCTTTGCAAGGAGTTCACCTACCATTGGCCTTTACTGGACAAGAAGCCATTTGGCAAAAAGTTTTCATGGTGACATTTCACATGATCCTGTGTAAAATTGGTGACAAAGTAAAAGCAATTCTTAGTGTTGATTTCGCCGTAACAACTCATACTGATTGGTAAATAAATAGATGAATTTACTAACACATGACCGAGTGATCTGATGGCTATTTCCATTACCTATCTGACATTCATCATACAAAAAAACCATATTAAACGAAGTTGCCATAAGATGGTCTTGAAATGTTTCTCGTGTTTCTTTATAGCAAATTCATGTCATTTGTTTGTCTATTGCTATTGATTGACGAGTACACATTTGAAATTTAGCAGATGCCTTTTTGTACCCGATTTCCCAATACCTAGTCTAGAAAGTTATCGGCTTATGAATAGGTAATTGCATTGGTGCTATTGTCTGGATCTTCAATTAATTAAAACTCATGTTTCCTACTGTGTTCTGAGGTTTAGTCAGTTTATTGTTTCAGCTTTTGTCCGTTATAGCCATGCCTGATAATGATAGGCTTATCTAGCTGATTTGTCCTCTTTATTGTATTAGCAAGGAAGAACTAGAAGATTTTTTTGGCGGACTCGTGTTTCTTGCGTTGGCTCGCATGGGAAATTTGCTTGGGTAGGTAGAGGAGTTGTGATTTCTGCATCTTCTCTTTTTTTTCGATGATAAAAAAGGGAAAAGAATAGGGTAACTAGTTGAACAAATTTAGGAGTATTTTATATTAGATGGTTCTTTACACTATGTTTGATAATATGATTCTGCTAGCTAACTCATTGCTCCGCCTCGATGTGCAATATAATGCATTTTGTTCTCGCTTTGAAGGCTTTCTTTTCATCATCACAAGCATTTGGCTTCTAAGGTGTAATAATTTCTTCATCATAGGTGGGGTGACCCATTATCACAGAACTTGTTGGATCAACAGCTAAACTTGCAGTAACAGATATTGTCCTGGATGTCAGAGCTAGGCATGTTTCGAGGTATAGAAGAACTCTTTTCCAGTTTAGAATTATTGATAATCCAGGTATCCTTTCAGTGAGATTATCTACGATAGAGTTGTAGCAGGGAAAATTCAGAAAATTGCCATCAAAGGGACCTTTTTAGTTAATGTCTATTGTATATCTGTCTGATCATGCTGGTCATGAGACTCCTGATATGTATTGTTGTACTTTCAGTTCTTCCATCCTTCTCTGGGAATGTTCCAGAAGCATTGAAGAAGATACATTCGTCAGCTAATATAACTAGACTTGGGGACCGGTATGGCTAGACTCGGGGACTGGTATGGCTCTTTTTCTGTTTGTAATTTCTTAAGTGTTGATGACTTTGATGACCTTTTCACTCTTATATTGTCCTCCCATGCATCCCTTTTTTGTCTTCCTGCTTGGGTTCGATAAGTTCTTCATCTAGATACAGTTTTTGTTAAGATGCTACACATGGCATTTTTTTAATTTCCTTGTCAATTATAAGACTTGTAAAACAAATAGAGAAAAGGTCAAAGACATTATTTTGTTTTACTACCTGGAAGAGGATAGTCAAGAAATTCGGTCGACAATATTTCTCAACGTCCAAGATATGATGTATCTGATACATGCTAGCAATAAAGAAATCTTATGCTATTCTGAATGTTCCTTACAATGCAAGAGATGCTCTTTGAGTGGCTACTCAGAGATGAATAAAATTGGTTACTTGGAAACTGAACTGAATTGCACTAGCATCTTCTGAAGTGAGCTTTCATCTGCAACTAGGGCGTCAAATATTTCTGACTTTAAGATTTTGACATGGTATTTTCTACTGCCTAGTAGCAATTTATCCAGATTAATGAGCAATTTTGTCTCTAAGATTAATTTCTGGCAAAAACCATTGTTTCTTTCCTTCGGGACCATAATACAGATTTCATAGTCAAGTTTCCGGACTGGAATCCATCAACAATCTCGGCATCTAGCTTTAGAAAGCAAGAGAAATGCTATTACCCTTTGATCTACCCCCTTTAATTCAAGTGACGGTCTCTGACTTTCCTCAGGCACATTTGTTGTATTCTACTCATGACGTGGTTGATGCTGGGAATTGTCCCAAGGAAAGTCTACCGTTTAGGTATAATCTCAGACATCGTTAATCTTTGCTGTTTAAAATTTTCTCACCTTTCTACATAAGAGTGGATGACCCAGTAGAAGACCTAGGAAAATCACGATTGTCTTTTTGCTAGGTAGATTGAATTTGAAGAACTGCATTGCAAATATATGCAAATTAGCTTAAGAAAGAAAGGCAGAGCTGATTGGATTTAATTTTTGCCTTTAGCAGGTCATGCTGATTTAGAAAGTTTATAAATGTTATTGTCAATTATTTGAATGGGAATCATATGATTGATGGGCAAGTCCACTTGAGAGTCTTCTAATCTCATGGGTCTACCAACTCGCTTTTCCTTTCCTTCTCCTTCCTCATCTCCTCCAACAAAGCCTTACTTGTGTCTATGCCTATATCATCATCAGAGAGAACGTGTCACGAGCCACGTCTTAATTGTCTCTGTCAAGATATTCACTCAATTCCAGAACGAAGTACATATACTACCTGCGAGGTATCCACCATGTACATAACCGCTGAATCTTTCGCTTGTGTGTTCACCAGTGAAAAAGATGCGTCCTACCGAGGCCTGAGAACATGTAAAAAAAACCTGTTTCAGTTACACGTACAGTTAATAGCTAATTCAGGAAGAAGCGCTAGAGCTACCAAATTTATAGTTGTCTTGGAACAACGAAAGGAAAAAAAAAAACTTATTCCAGTTGCTTCTCTTAGGACATCGTAAAGGCAAGAGAATCTAAAGCTGCTAGAGATTTCACATAGAAATTAACCCCTAAAGGGAATGATTCAGAAAGACCTACATCTTTTGTCAAGCCATAAATAACAACTTGTCTAAGCTTGGATATCCAGAAGTAAGAACTACGCTGATCAACATGTAAACACGAAAACGGGAACTACCAGGATTCGTAATATTTGAAGCAAGATAAGCACCTACCTTAATGCTTTGAACGACCTGATGATTAGATATGACGGGGTACTTGCTGTAGCTGCAACGCTGAAACTTGTCATTCAACCAGCGGGGCACGAGTATATCGGTGGCGTTAGGTATATTGGGCCCAAACATATCCCTAAGCACCTCCATAGCCTCTTTCAGTGTTTCTTCGTCAGATCGACTCTCCACACGCTTTGATTCTCCATTTGTCAACGTCACAACCAGAATATTGGAACCAGGGTATGCATCCTCCATGTGCTGATGACATGCCCAGAGAGGAACAAAACAATCATCTTTATCAGATGAGTTTCCCTCAAAGCATTATGCAGTCGCTTAAAAACATTGCTCGAGATTTCACATCAAAGCATACAGTATCGAAGGCCATGTGTGGTAGATACAATTTACAGCGTTTTCCCAATGAAAGTAACGTAATTAGTATCAATACCTCATAATTAAACAAATTGGCTGCATTAGTAATGCAATTCCAGAGTGCAGCTAAAGAAATAGTCCAGTGTACTACTTGTTAACACGACCAAACATGACCAAACATGTTAACCTCATAATATTGAGCAAACAGTTTTTTACACTTTCTAAGACGCCCAATGGATGATATCAATAAGCACTCAATTCCCCAGAGAGTAACTTTTAGGACAAAGAAAACTGGAAGAAGAAGAAAGAAAAACCGTTAGCTAGCTGCAAAAGGTTTGTTCACAAACCTGCCAAAATGTGTAATAACCTCTCCGTTCGTGTGCATACATGAAGAACTCTTTCCCGGGTCCACAAGGCCAGAACTTTTCAGGAAACTTTAGGTAGATTTTCGTGTACACCGTCACGTCAAGCTTCTCTATCGCCTCCATCTTCCATCTCTGGTGGGCATTATTTCACAAATCAGTGCAACACTTCATCGAGCCAAGTAAAATGGACAATAGATCAAACATCGCTCAGCTTCTTTTGGGGACCACCAACTAAAGAGAAGCCGTAATCATAGTTGTTGCTTAAACCTCTAGACACCATTATTAAATAAGTAAACGTCCAAATGGACACGCATAGTTGTAATTTTTATGTTTCGTCCTAAAGAGCAGCCAGTTTTTTGGCGCGGGATGACATCCCAGGATTCGTCGGTCCTGAATTCTTTCACGAGGAAAACGTTCTATTGGGAGTCAACAACAGTTGTGCAGAATAATGATGATATTGAATTCTAATTGATATTGCTAGTCTTCTATGAATATTGAGTAATTAGTAGAGCAATTGGATGAATTAAATGGTCAACATATTCCGGTAAATGCAAGGGAAAACAAGGACGACAGTATAACCAAGAAATTTTTTTCAGTGTGTTTACAGATTCATTCAATCAACCAAAAGCAGCATTTTGCGCAGAAGTGTTTCACAATATTTATAAGAATCTTGTTAGGAACTTTCACGTATTAATTATAAGGCGCAATAATTCCGATTCGTACTAGTCTTTGATATTATTCATGCGATTTCAGTGCACCCTGTGGACTTTTCAATTGGGGAACTGGAAAAGGGAGACAGTCAAAGAAATAAGGAACGAAGGAAGATGTGTACGGGCATGGATGGCCGGAACGAGATGAGGTCACTCTTGAGAACCCCAATGCTAACGGACAAAATGGCATAATTGGCACTGTAGACATAACCATCCTCTGTAGTAATAGTAACTCCGCTGCTCGAGTGTTGTATTTCCCGGACAACCTGCCCCAAATCCACTCGTAAATACAGTGGCACTGGCATCCAATAAAGATGGAAGAAGTTTATCAACATAACTGAATGAAAACTGTGCAGTGGTCAGACGAAAAGATTCATTACCCTAGCGAGATTCGTTCATCCACAATCTGACATTATAGAAATAAGTAAATTGTCTCTGCTAATTTCCACCTATTGGGCACTAGTCATCGATTTTCTTCATTCTTGTTGCGTGTGAATTTGAGTAGGCAAGGAAACACCACATTAAATGGAGAAAATGACAACACTTCATATGTTCATGTTCTTCTATTTGAGTAGATTTGACCTCCCCAATTATTTACTTCTATATGAGGTCATCATGTTCACTGTATAGTGTATACGATAATGGACAGGAGCCAGTTGGCCCAAACCGTTGCTTATTGAGTGGTATACAGTCTTCTTTTTCGATATGAAATGTTGATAAAATGGCATTGATGTAAAAAGGTTGCTTTGCTTCTCAAACTAGAATCACTTGGACATGATAGCAACGGGAAAATTGTTATCTGCACTTGATACATTAAGGTCCAACATATACGATCCGTTGAATCATATAAATCCCACGTGAGATCCATGCAAGTAGTAATGTTGCATAACGAGTATGAATATTATAAGGATCCCAGTTGGAGAAAAAAATTAGTCCCATGCTTGATGAGGTAGACCTGGGACTATAGTATCCGAAATGTATATGATATGACATAAATAAATGAATAAATAATTGGCTAAAACAGCTTTTAGGGAACGTCGTCATCGACAAACTCCAAGGATGGGGCCAATCAAATCTCTTACAGCCAAGTGAGAAAACAGTTGATCCACACAAAACAAAAATTGGGGTTTTTCCGCACACTTTTGTTATTATTACCATAAACCATTCTCCGTCACTTTGTTTCCGTCTGACGATTGGATGATTAAAAAAACAAAAATTAAATTAAATTAAAAAAGGTAGGCATCATCTCCTAAATAAACAACCAAGATAAGAACAAAAAGGAAAAAAAAAAAAGAAGAGAGAGAATTATTGTTTACCTTATTGAGCTGAAGACGACTGTCCAAAATCTTGCCCTCGGACGTAACAAGAAAATCGTGCGCCATTTTGCGTACCAATTCCTCGTATCCCCTCTCGTCCGCCACTAAGTATTCTCCTTCCCCATAATCAAGGTAAGTCGGTATAGGCTGGGCCTCTGCCCAAGAAGAAACACCAAATGGGAAAAACTCATCGGCATTGCATACATCCTTTTTTGCTGCCAAATCTGAAGTTTCAACTGCACTAAAAAAAGCCGACTAACCGGGCATCTCGTAGTCGTGAAGCACGAAGTCGATGGCGAGCTCTAATGGCGTCTTCGCCGTCCTAAACATGCGCGAGAAGAAAGAGAATGAGATCGCGCACGGTGGAGAAACAAAATCTCGAGGGCATGAAAGTTAAGCAGGAGAGGGAATCACGAAGGAGGCTCTGTCGCTCCGGAGAAATAGTCACCGCCATCCGTTTCCTGCTGGTTTCTCGACTTCTCGGTAGCCGAGTCCACCGCCTTTCTGTACGAGTCGGCAGCGACTTCCCTCGGGAACACCTTCCCACTGAAACGAACGAACAAACTGCGTCAGCATCGAAACCGAACTCCCCTTGCGGACGGTGAAAAGGTATTGCAGAACTAATCATCTTCGCTTTTTTTTTTGCTTAGATTCACGCTCGAAGAACGCCCCGCAAGTGCCGAGAACAAAGATAAGCTCTCCGGCTGGAATGTGACATTATTGCTGACAACAGAAAAAACTCGAAAGGAAGGGAGAGGATCAGACCTGCGATCGTAGATGTTGTAGCGAGCATGACTGAAGTCGGAGAGGCACGTCCGGAGGGAAGACTTGGCGGCAAGCTCCCAAACGGGATTCGGCACCTTACCTCCCACGCCGACGATCCAGCCGGCGCCGAGCTCCACTGACACGCCTCCGAACGCTTCCTTGCGCATCCTGCCCCCGATTCGGTCCGTCGCCTCCAGTATGACGATGTCCTCCACGCCGTTCTCGGCCAGAACCTTGGCCGCGGCAATACCTGAAGAGACGTCCCACGAGGCCACATACACGAAACATCAGAACTAGTCGCAACAGATACATACAACAACCCAAGTGCAGACACGCCGCGGTCGCGGGCGGGGGACAGGAGGTTTCGTGCGTACCGGAGACGCCGGCGCCGACGATGATCACGGAGGAGCGAGACGGAGGATCCATGAGGGAGAATTAGAGAGAGAGATGCGTCACGTACTTTGGTTCGACGGGAAATGAAACAGGCGAGGATTTTAATCATGGCAGTGGAGGGCAGTTCGGTCATTTCCGCGGGGGCAGATTTGGAAATTTGCGGGGAAGTTTTATGGCAGGGTCGGCGTAATCTTTGCCCGTGCGGATTCGAGTGTCCACCGAAAACGAGATTAGTGTCCTCCTAAATGCAGGGTCAGAGAGATAATCTCAAGATAATCTACCTTTTCAATGAGATTTTTTATTGGATTTTTTTACGTAATCAATCCACGCATTAATATACCTAGTTAATGTAGCAGATTCATTGCTCCTTATGTGCTGGAAATTTTGAATTGGATTGGTACTACAAAAAAGCCCCAAACCGATATAATCGTAAAAAATTTATCCCAAACTAATTTTTTTATCACCAAAAATTCTTAACCGGTGACAAATTTATCTTCTATTAGTTTCTATTAAATTTTACCTTCAAATTTCTGAGTTGGATGACACGTGACAGTGACAAGTGTACTAATTTGAGGTTTTACTATCCGGTTGTCATAGGTGTAACAATTTGTGATTTTTTGTGATACTAATCCAATTTAACGGAGGGTAAATTTGTCACAAATATACCAGTTTGGGATTTTTTGTGATAAAAAAATTAGTTTTGGGTAAATTTGTCACGAGTGTGTATCGGTTGGAGATTTTTTGTAGTCAAAATATTAGTTTATGGTAAATTTATCACAGATGTACCAGTTTATGATTTTTCATAATATTGACCCTTTGGAATTTTCAACACATAAGGAACAACGAATATCAATAATTTGAAAACTATATATGCTCTTTTTAAAATTTTAAAATTTTTATTATTTAACAAAAATGAGTCAATGATAAATATTTTCATCATCAATGATATTTTTCTGTGTATTTCATTGAACTATAAATGAGCCCATTTATACGCTGTTACAAAATGGCCATCTATAGTAATAATGAAATTATGATCCGAAGAGAAACTCATAATAGAATAACGAAATTATGATCTAAGAGATTATTAGAATCAGACAATATATTTCTAATAAGAACTATTTTATATTATTCACGTCCAATTTTTTAATAGGATATTAGGCATTTTCCACTAAGCAGAAACTTATTAATTCCTCTAATTTATATCTCGTGGGTAAAAAGTAAGGCATACCCGTCCTCCCTGCCTCTGTAATCCTTTTGATAGATGACGATGCGATGATGGCTTGCTGCTCCGCCCCCAAAAAGCCAACGGTAAGGATGGGTCCCTTCCTTACATGTCGTTTCCCTCCCGAAGCAACCAAAAAAAAAAAAGAAGAGATAATGACAAAAACAGTAATTCAACTTTGACTCAACGTGCAATATAGTCTCTAAACTTTTAATTTATTCAATATAGTCTTTAAACTTTAGCCTAATATTCAATATGATCTCTAAACTTTAAATTTGTTCAACGTGGTCTCTGGACTTTTGGTATATGTTCAATATGATCCCTGAACTATATGAAGATGTTCAATTCTATCCTTGAACTTGAATTACTGGAAGGAGATTGAATAAATTAAAAGTTCAGAAATCATATTACACATTAGATTAAAATTCAGAGATCATATTAAATAAATTAAAAGTTCAGATATCATATTACACATTAAACTAAAGTTCAGAGATTGTTCGTGTCATTTTTCAAAAAAACATCAAACAGATCAAATTTAGTGAGCCTTCGTACTCTTCCGGCCTAGTACATTGAAGGAAAAGAAGATTTGGGCAGCTGTGTCATCATCATGTGTGAAAAAATCACATGGTCTTTGTTAGCAACGGGTCGACATGAGGGTCTGATGCGGTGAGCATTCGATCCCTGATTTGAAGATTTGGCATGGAGTCCGCGGCGATCGTCATTGATGTTGTTGGGTGAAGGATAGAGCTGGCGTAAGTCTAATCAAGGTCGGCAATAATATAATAACGATGCATAAGGATATGTTGTCGCTTTTAAGTGCGCCGTAGAGAAGCATCCGTATTGGAAATGATTTATGCCGCTATTGCAGATGATGAAAAATATCATGTGTTGTGCCCTGTGCATGCTAAGTAGTTGAATTTCAATTGATTATCCGTACACGTGATAACAATATACTTAAAGTATATGTGACATTTTAGCTATACATCTAGTTTCATATATGTTGGCTCAGATATTCAAAATATACTTTTAAGTTCAAGTGAGTGAATACAAATATAATTTGGGCAGTTTATCAAATAGATGAGTAGGAATAGAGAAACGATCGGGCAATTTGGCAATCCCACCTAATCAGGGATATATACCCTATAGGCTTGACTTTCCAATCGACAACCAGGCTAGATCACCACCTTCGCCTAGGGGCAAGATGGTTAGGCACTTCAAAGGCAAGATGCCCAAGTACTTCAACAGATAGCCAAACAAACTGCAGTGGTAATGCAGCGCATGGGAGATGGTGGAGGAGTTGTCGTGCCCATGATAGAAACCATACTCAGTTTGGGTCGATGCCTTTTCATATTCGAGAGGTTGTAAAATGCTTGATTTTTTAGTGTTCACTGGTGAAAACGAGCAATTGATAGTGGAACACATTAGTAGGCCTGTGGCTCAATGCAGTGAGGCAAATAATGAGGATCATCTGAAACTAAGATTGTTCACACTATCTTTGTAAAAAACTGCCTTTACTTGGTATACCAATTACCAACCAATTTGACTCATAATTGGGATGAAATGGAAGGACAATTTCATGCTCAATTTTATAGATCGGACCCCGAGGTAACTATCGCAAATTTGGCTGCGATTGAACAATAACAAGTCGGTAGACCAATACATAACTCAACTTAAAAAAATCGAGAAATCAATGTCTCACTTCGCTCATAGAAAGGGAGTTTACTGCATTGGCTTTCAGTGGTTTAAAATTTGCCTTGAGGGAATGATTCGAAGGCCATCCATTTAATGATTTATTCCAGTAGACATTGAGGGTGTCTAAGAACAAAAATCTTCTGAAAGAAAAAACACAAGAAGCCATATAAGGATTGCAAGCCGAGTGTGGCTTTGGTCGATGATTATGATTTGAATTCCAATGCGGAATTGGGTCATGAAAAAGAAGCAGAAATAGCCGTGGCTAAAATGAATCTAGACAAACCTTGCGTCTGTCAAGTTTTAAGGCCTACCAGAGTAAAATAAGCTTTTATGCTAAGAACAAAGACATCCAGATTTTTTCGTTCGACATGACCAAGCAAGATGAAATATTTGATTCACTTCCGAAGGATCTTTATAAAATTAACGGAGGGCCAAATTATTCCGAATAGAAGAATTAGCAAAGAAGAAATATTGCAAATGACACGACTCATGAAGACATAATATACTGCTAATTACATTATTTTTAAACGAACTAGTCAGAAATATTACAATTGAGATTGATAAGAATAAAGTTAAAGTCATTTTAGGATTAACCGCATCGATGGCTAAGAAGCAATTACAGACGGTGATAAGAAAAATTAATTTTCTACCTCAGTTTATTGCTAATTTGTTGCTGAACAGCTGGTTACAGGACGAATTAGGAAAATGGCCTGTGGCTGATAGACGTTGGACAAGACCTTCTCCACAGGAACTGCAATATGAACCCAAATTAAAAATGAATAACAAATATGCAGTTAGAGACCTGAGGAAACTCCTTAAAAGTATGACGACTTTGCTTCTTTAATGACCTTAGTTTTTCTGCAAGTAAGATTCAAGAGGCACAACGAGCACCTGGTCTGCCATGTGAAAAGTAGACGGCAATTTCTCCTCCTGATGACCCCAAGAGTATGCAATCCATCAGAGAAAGAGGGAGAAAATGGAAAACTATCTCGGCCATCAATGAAGTTCAGTGAACAAGAAAGAAAATTTGTAAATTCATCAACAGGAAATCTTTCAAAAGAATGAAGTACCAACTACTAGAGGGCATTGCCAATAAAACAACAATCTATAAATTGGGAATTTAGTGTTTCGTCTTCACACAAGAGAAAAAACCCGTTTTTAGTGAGAAATAGGTCTAGTCCCACTGGAAAATCTAGGTCTGAGCTCATATGTACATTTGCGTTAACGTAAACAGTACATCAACACATGTAAACTTGAAGATCAAATTCAAATCTTACGTTGTTGACAAATAGAGGAGGAGCTTATTGACCATTTGTTGTTGAAGTTGCTAAGGGCCAAAGTTCTGAGGAAGGTACATGGGAGAACCTAAGGTTGTTCCTTCTGGATCCCACCAACTGGCTCATCACAGTGTTAACATCTCTCTCTGCTCTGCTTCCACCTCCATCTTTCCCACAACAACAACCAATTTAATCTTGTCTCTTCTAACCTCTGATAAAAATCGAAGCTTTAACCGATCGATGATACTGGGAGTCCGTAGATAAATCGAGAAGTAAGGCAGATTCTGAGACAGTACAGGAAGTGAAAACGAGGGTTCCAAGGATTTAGGCGTGGCAACGATGTCTGATGAAGTAACCCAACTGGCCAATATAAAACTAGTAAAAAAAGAAAAAAAAGAAATAAGAACAGACAACGGGGAATCTCCAGTCAAACTCCCTTCTCAGAGGACGACCGGATGGTGATGATCCGATGATGCTCTGTCCTCTCTTTCTTGTCAGAACAGTTCTCTCTGTATACAGAAACACTTGAGAAACCCAATTCGTTTCTGTTCTTTAACCATGTCCGACTCCAACATGAAGATTTCGGCGCTGATATTGCTCCTCAGTGTGATAACAACAACTTCATCAGCGTCGTTGCCGGATGTCCTTGACTCTCTGCTCGCCCGACTGGAGTCCAAAAGGGCATCCCCATCGGTTCAAGAAACGGCGGCCGAAGGCGTTCTTAAGAGATTGCTTCCTTTCCATTCACGGAGCTTCCAATTCAAGATCGTACCCAAGGTCTCATCTTTTTCATTACGCACGATGCTTATCCAATTTATTGCTTCACGTCCTCAGGAACGAAGTAGAAGCTGAGCCTGTACTCTCTTGAGTTACTGTCAAGCCACAGCTAATGAACTGAGGAAATGTGAAAAAGTTCAGTCTTTTGGTGACCCTTACAAAGCACTTTTCTCATTTCCAATTCAGCGGAAGTAATAGCTTTAAGAAAATAGTAAGTTAGCCGGACCCAATTTATGGTGTCTTGACAATAGGGCGTTGTTTTATGTGTTGATGAAGTGAATTT